TGGGGTATCGGATATCTCTTCTTCGGGGATAACTTCTTGGACATGGTCGAGGAGGGGCCTGAGGTGTTCGAGGCCGACGGTTTCGGGTTTATTGGAGAATGTTGAAATGCCTGTTAATTAGTTTCAGTTAGCTGTTGTTCCTGAGCGGCGAATTGACTCGACTTTCAGAATCCGCTGCGTACCAGGATGTATCTTCTTGGTCCATTTATCCTTAGTGAGGAGTTCGGGCAGCGACGCCAGCTGTTTCGAGGACGCCGACTTTCGTGCGCTGACGCTATCGGGCCATCTGTAGACATGTGCGCGAGTCCCCTGAAATTTTACGAGTTAGTAAAATGGAGAGTGGATATTATACGCAAGCAACTCACAGATGAACCAGCATCCAAGACGACGGCATATCTCCCTATACAAAGATATCGTTGTTAGCTAAATGCATTGCCGTACAGGAATATAGACTCGGCCTTTCGAGGCAAAGAGAGGCGAGGGTGCGTCCATACATATCCCCATCTGGAAACTTCCTTCTTCCCGTATAAATCTAGTAGTCTTAATCCTTTATTATCCCTTTTTTCTGGTCTATCTCAAATGCATCGCTCCAAAGAGTCGCAGTAATATTACAGACTAGGCGGAGGAGAGGAAGAAGAAGGGTTGTTGCATTTCCCTCCTTTTTATTATTATTGAAATAATACGCGTTGCGCTGTTCGCAAAGTTTCGGAACGGAGGGATGAATGAAATGAAGTGGCGGCCGGAGGGATAATTCGACGGTTAAACTAGCCAATGCAGCTGGATATTAACGAGCGTAGTAGTAGAAGGGCAAGAAGATGAAAAATGGAGATGAAGAGACGGATGAAAGGAGAGGATCAAAAAGGATAACCAAAATAGCCACCAGATGAGGCTGAGGATTATGATTAAGAGTGCCTAGGTGGTGGGTGGGTGGCCGAAGAGAATAATACCCAAAAGGGAAAAAGTTAAAAACAAAAGCCAAGAAATATCTGCCGTCCCCATGTTTCTTACCAGTACGCAATACTCCGTACGGTATGCAGCATCTCCTGTAGGTAAGGTAGGCTGCTAATTCAGTAGAAATACAGTTACCGAGCCATGCCTATTATGGATTGAGTTCTTCGTCAGTTACTGTTTTTGGTTGAACCCTTCCCTTCCGCTAAACTGTGTCTAGAACAAGAAAGTCTTAGCTCGCCAATGACGCGTATGCTCGTGGGGCCGGTTGGGGTTGATACAGCCAATCAGAGACCTACCACAATGCACTGCACCATCCCTTGTCATCAAAAACCAGCCTTGGATCGACAGGGATAATTGGTACGACTCTCGTATTGGCCATATCGCTTTTGGCCAGACTTTTGGCTGGGATGGTGTTTTTATAATGTAACTATCGTCTGGTATTCAAATATACTATCTGGAATGTGGAAGGAAGAATAGAGAGGAGAGATGCAATGGATATATATATTAGATAATGACGAACAGGTTCAGAACAAAGATGAAGAAAATGAAGTATGACAGTATTCACCTCTGAATATCATAAAAATTTTGTTCTTAATTAAGAGAGTATCAAGTTGAATTACCTGTCCTGGGGTGTTCGGAAAAGGAACCGCTTAATAGCATCAACGGTGGCAATTATTTATAAAACAAAAAATGGAAAGAAGTCGAAAGAAATAACAGAGAGAGAAGAATATAGCAGCTTCATCGCGTAGAGTGCAAGAATTGAAGCTTTCTCAAAGAAGCGAAATTAAAAAAAAGCAGTGCATTACAAACCTAGCCAAAGCAAATAAAAAAGCAAGAGCAAACTTGGTATCACGATGAGCGGTTATATATATAGGGATTGATATAAAGACACCAAGGGACCCCTTATATAACATATATTCCGTTATCACAGCTTCGCGCTCGAGCCCAATGGCGTCCGTCTGCGCTGTTTTGTAGACACGTCAACCTCTTCCGCAGACTCTTCTGCTGCGGCTGCAACTTTGAACACCTCCCGACCTACCGAATCGGTCATGGTGAGCACGCGAGAGGATACGGTTGCTCCATCTCGTCGGTTTTTCCTGAAGGATTGGAAGTGTCAGCTCCGATCAACGGGGGCGGGGGACCTTATTATGTAAATAATGAAAGGAAGAAAAGGGCGGAAATAAAGGAGGGGCGGAAAAAAAAAAAAAAAAAAAAAAAAAAAAAAAAAAAGAGGGCAGTTACATACCCTTCGCGCCGCGACTGGGCTATTAGGGACATAAAGTCCCATAGCTTGCCCCGGGCTAGGAGTTTGCCTGTTTTTGCATCGCGCTCAGGCATCCAGCTGGGAGCTAGTCTCATGGTGGGCGCTTGGCTTGTCTTCACATCCTTCATCCTCGGTCTTGTGACGATGATGATTCTTTCTTCCTCAAATCGCTGATATGCGTTTTTAAGGGTTTCTTTGTTGACGGCTTCGAAATATGACAGATCACCTTGGTGGTAGAGCGTTTTGCCCAACTTTTTTTTGGTGGTTAATATTGTGTACATACTGGTGGGAAGATGCAGGTTTTGGGTGATATCTTACCAGTTGAGCGCTGTCCTGTGCTTTTTTCATATCAACCCAAGGCGACTTGGGGCCATTATTGAGGGGTGGAGTCAGTCCCATAAGCGATACAGCTCCAAGCCAGCTTGCTTCAATAAAAGGCCAGACAAGGAAGCAGTAGAAATCAAAGTTTTCTCTGCCGCATTGGCGTTCTTCATCGCTTAACTCGACATATGTCGGTATGCCTGAGGGGTCTCTTGTGATTTTTATTACATTGTCTCGTTCTAGTCCATTAAGCGTCTTCTCGAGATTGTGGGCTAAGCCGTCTGGTGGGAAGATAAATTCTCCTCGGAAAAGCTTGAGAAGAGGTTAGTTGCGAAGAGAATATATTTACTCACAACGAGTAAGATATGAATACATCGTCTTACCTGGGACAAGAAGGTCACTTGGGTCACCAGCTCATCATAACTGCTGCGCTGGTTCATCGGGCCACCCCCTTGCTTTACACGGGCATACATAGCAACGGACACCAATGCCTCTGTGATGAAGAGATGAATCGTCATATTCCTGTAAAAAGAAAGCTGGAACCGGTCCACCGCGTAGAAGGTCTGTTCAGCAAGCCCGCCAATTGCACCGACTAATTTTGGCCCGAGAACTTCGATGGCTCGATCAACGACCTGTTCCGTCGGGGCTCTGTAGAAATGCGCTACTCTTCCGCCCTGGGCACGAACTCGGTCGCAGAGCCAATCAACACGGCGTACAAGTTCAGTTTTACCAACACCACGCCCCCGGAGCGTAAGGAGAACCGTGCCAACGAGTGCCGTCGGCATTACAACGGAGACGTTATTGATGTCTGAGAGCACGCGATATCCCAGGGTTCGGAGGAGACGTCCTCTTTCCGCACTTCCCATTTTCACTTGTATTTCGCCGTTATTGGGGAGATTGTATATTCTAGCGCACTGCTCCGCGACAAATGCCTTCAGACTCCATGGCTCGTGGAATCTGACGTCAACTCTACCAAGCTTGAGTGACAGGACTGACGAAGAATTAAGGAAATCAACTAAATTTTCTTTTTGTTTCGGCTGTCCCAGCAGCTCACTAATATATGATCTGATCAGAAGTTCTTAGCATAGGTTTATCTTCAAGGCGCTCGTGTTTGTTAATATACATACTCAGTTTCAATAACTTTATCGTACTGTGTGCTCACTGGGCAGATGATCGCGTCTTCGACTCGACCGGAAGCAACGCTATCTAGGAGAAAGCTGAGGATACCAAACTTCGGGGGTAGGAGCTTTCCCGTCCTTGACCGACCGCCTTCTACGAAACATTCGAAATTAAACCCTTCCTTTAATAGGGTATCAACATACGCCTGTACAAGTGTATGGTACAAGGGGTCGTCGCCAAAAGTTCGACGGATCCACATGGCACCTAGAACATATTGTCAGCCCTCAAGGAAAACCATTGCATAGGATGAAAGTTTGCTCGGAATTGTGATAAGGATAAGACCTACCTGCATGTTGCAAGAAACTCCCAAGGAAAGATATATTCAAGTTATCTCCCGCCACAACCACGGGCAATCCAATTCCAAGACGGTAGCAAATTAATTGCAGGGATACATAGTCTACATGAGATCTGTGGCAAGGTAAAAATACAATAGATTGCTTATTTTTTGCTGCGGTTTCCGCGACCGACCTCAGACGGAGAACTTCTTCACTAGAAACATGAATGCCTATATAATCTGCATAAGTACCCGATATTTCTATGTTTGTTCAGATAAAATCAGTTTAAAAACGTACGTACGTACCTTGATGATATGCTCGCGTAAGAAGCTGTGTACAAAGATAATAGGCTCCCCGTATAAAGTTTTTGCCTTCCATTTTGCAAATCATATTTTCCATCATCGTGTCGACGACTTCTCTTAAATTAGCCTCAATCTCGTTCTTTCGTCTTAATCGAGGGTCATTGCCTTTTTTCGACTTGTCGGGTTCCAGTAACCCTTGTTCTTCTTCCACTCGCGATCGCAACTCTGCCAGTTCAGTAATCTTCGCCTTCAATAACGGATTACTCAGGATATTTGACTTCATTTTCTCTGCGAAACCAGGATAGAATATTGGCTGGCCAATAATCTTATCATAGGCTCGCCATCCTGTTCCTGACACAAACAAGCTGACTTCGCGCAAGAACTCAAAGGGGTTCTCTCGGAAGCGTGCCATGTTCCGCACAAGCTCCCGTTCAGTGATGCCATCTTTGACATCTGGGCCACCGGTGAAGCCCGTTGGATGTACAGTGACCCGATCTCCGACGATCTCTAGATCTGGGGCCATATGGCCTGCATCCTTTGGAGAAGACATGATGCTGTGACTGTACTCTGTACTTGTTGTTATCAAATGATATTAGGTAACGCGAGAAAGGCTTGATCAAGGAGAGACGCGCCCGCCAATATGCCACTATCGAACAGTTCAGCGCGCAAGGTCGACGAAGACACCAAATCTCTCCTTCTTCAAGTACGGCCAACCTCGGGGGACGCGAACTGTTGAGCTTTCCTTAGTTCATTTTCGCCGTGCCTCGTCTGGTCTGGGTCCGTCATGATGCTCCTTAATATCCTCAACAATCCCAAACTCCAACCTCGGCAACACGGTCACATGATGCCAACCGGACGGAAAGTGCGCACGTGACCATGACGTATTGTTCGGCAATTTGCACTCTTTTTGCTACAATCTCGATGTTAAACAACATCAAACTATTTGCGAACAGTGTTACAGAGGACAACAATGCTGTTTGCAATTGCCTATTATATATGAGCAATGGGGCTTTCAATTGCCCCATAATGTAAAGCTGGATATATATCTCATAGACTCTCTTTTCTCCCCATGTCATTTTGTTCTCTCTTCTCTAGTTTCATTCCGTTGTAGCTTATGGCTGCCATTCTTTAACATATAACATCAATAAGCTTCAACAAAGTCCTACCATGGTGTCACGCTGGCTGAGGCGATTTTCCTGTGGGTAACTCTAGATTTCTGCTATGTTGCTTTGTTCCAATGGCTTACACCTCACAGCAACGCCGTCATGGCGTTCCAACAACAACAATGGCGCTCCTAACTCCCGAGAGGCGCCCTTTTCGGTATTTCGAGATGTACCCGCGCTCCGGCAATACCGAAAGCAGCTGCTTCTGTCCAAGAGAACCGTTGGGTTAGTCCCTACTATGGGCGCACTGCACGATGGCCATCTGTCTCTAATCCGCCAAGCCGCTATCGAGAACACGGACGTGTTTGTTAGTATCTTCGTTAATCCAACCCAATTCGGAGTGAACGAGGACCTGGACAAATATCCAAGGACGTGGGAGGCAGACATCCAGAAATTAAAAGAACTAGACGAGGAGCTAGCAAGTGCAGCGTCTGGCGACGGGTGCCTCGCAAGGACTGGTTCGGTGCGAGGACGAATCTCTGCAATTTTTGCCCCGACGAGCAATGTCATGTATCCGACGCTCCCACCAACCTCTGAGCTAGATGGATACGGCTCGTTCGTTACAATCACGCCCTTAGCAACACTACTGGAGGGAGCTTCGCGGCCTGTATTTTTCCGAGGAGTTGCCACCGTGTGCATGAAACTGTTCAACATCATGACACCCGACCGAGTCTATTTTGGCCAAAAGGATGTGCAACAGACGGTCGTCATTAAGCGGATGGTAAAGGACCTACATGTCGGGACTGATGTGAAATTAGGGCCTACAATACGAGAAGCGGATGGTTTGGCCATGAGCTCGCGGAATGTGATGCTTGGTGCGAGACGACGCAAGGTCGGACTTGTATTGTATAAAGCGCTCAAGGAGGCGGAGAGGGCATACTTGTCAGGTAAGCGGGCCCGAGAGGAGATCCTGGGACCTGCGAACCGACTCGTGGAGTCCATTGCTCGTGAACAACAAGCGCTGCCACCTTTGGAGCGGGCAATATTCGAGCTCGACTACATTTCGCTCGCGGATGTGGATTCACTCGAAGAATTGCAAGTTGTAGATGGCTCGAAAGGTGCCGTCTTAAGCGGCGCTGTAAAAATGCTACCCTTGGAAAGCCCGCAGCCTGGCGAGGATTGCGGGGAGAATGGGGGTGATAACCCTGTGAGATTGATTGACAATATCATTCTCTGATGGCGGTTTTGAACGATATATGAATGGGATGAATTGTTTCGGCTGGTTTATTTTTGAAATAGACTATCTATGTTATCTATCAACCAATGAATTTCGGGCAGTTATCTAATGAGATTATTTGAATAACCCTACGTTCTTATCCACTCGCTGTATGGTATGGTCGTGATTGGACTGTTGTGCATGGGAGAAAATACTCTATCAGATTGCTGTGGTTGGTGAGAATTTAAGCTGTTCAAACCTGGATCGTACTGACACTGACATAGTGTTTATGGGAAGGCGTATCGAGATATTCTACTGTAGAATATTTTAATAAAATCCATTCTCTTCAACAGCTACAGAGTCATTTTGATGCCACTACAAAGTACGAATTTATGGCCTTCGGGGATCCAGAACCCGATCTCTTCTCGGCGTGTTTGCTCATTTGTCAAACATTACCGGAAAAACTCAACCCAATATCTAATTCTGAAAGACAAAACACAGAGCCACAAACCTGGATAGGATCATAGGAAGGGAGACGAACATTTCCCGTCTACTATCTGGCATCATGGCGGATGATGGCATGCTCTTGAACTTCAATTTGGGTGATGGTATCATTAAAACCCAGCAAAAGTTCAAAGGTGGGACATGGAAAGATCGCCTTTCAGTAAAGAAAATCGCCCTTCACCGTCAAAATAAATCCAAATTTCCCAACTCCGAAGACCAAGATCATGCCGGGCGGAAAGATAGAACAGGGAACCCGAATAGAGTTGAAATACCATCCCCTCGACCAGCCAAACGGCAGAGGGTCGATGACGATTTTAAACCGTCTTCGTTGTCGTCGTATCGCGTTAGCGGGCACACCCCTACTTCTACGAACGTCGGCAGCAGCAATAACAGGGGGAATACTCAAGGCAACCAAGCTCGCAAGAACCAGAATCAACCGCGTGAGATCATCTCCTCCCTTTTCTCCTTCAACCCCGCGCCTCTTTCTGCCATCGAGCCACCGAAAACAGACGAAGGCGCCGAGCCTTCTAAACCCTCAAATGCGCCCCTCATCGATGGAATTGATACCTTCACATCCTTGGGATTATCCCCGATGCTTGCAGCGCACCTGATGACAAAGCTTGAATTTAAGGCTCCGACGGCCGTTCAGAAAAGCGCCATATCGCAGCTGTTGAAGGAAGAATGCGATGCGTTCATCCAGGCCCAAACCGGATCGGGAAAAACATTGGCATATCTGCTTCCTCTAGTTCAGCGACTGATTAACTTGTCAAGCACCAACGGGAAGGCTTTTGAGCGGACGAGCGATGGTTCGGATAACGCTGCTGTTCATCGAGATTCGGGACTTTTTGCTATCATCCTTGCTCCTACGAGAGAGCTATGCAAACAAATATCCGTTGTGTTAGAGCAATTGTTACGGTGTGCGCATTGGATCGTTGCAGGCACGGTTATTGGTGGGGAGAAGAAAAAATCCGAAAAGGCAAGGTTGAGGAAGGGGTTGAATATTCTTGTGGCTACGCCTGGTCGTTTGGCTGATCATTTGGAGAATACCAAGGTGTTGGATGTTAGTAATGTCAGGTGGCTAGTCCTTGATGAGGGGGATCGGCTTATGGATTTGGGCTTTGAGGAGGAGATTCAGGGGATTGTGAAAAGGTTAGATGAGAGACAGAAATCAAAGGGAATCTCGGGATTGCCTGCCAAGCGAGTTACAATATTGTGTTCTGCGACTTTGAAAATGAATGTGCAGCGGCTAGGGGAGATAAGTCTCAAAGACGCTGTGCATGTCCAAGCTGACCCGGATGACGAGGACGACGAAACGAAGACGAATAATACTGGTACCAACTCCGAGTTTTCGGTCCCTGCACAACTTAAACAATCGTACGCAGTGGTTGCTGCGAAGCTACGACTCGTTACTCTTACGGCGTTGATGAAACGAACATTTGCCAGGAAAGGCTCTGTTATGAAAGCAATAATTTTCGTTTCTTGTGCGGACTCCGTGGACTTCCACTTCGAAGCTTTCTCCAGGCAAGATTCAGACAACAAAAGCGGAGGGAAAGAGCTCAAAAATACCGAAGCTTTGCTTCCCACCAAACCAGCATCCATCCATGGAACAGTTGCGCAAGCAACAGCCTTCTCGAACCCTACTAATCCAGTCACGATCTATAAACTTCATGGCTCACTTCCTCAACATGTCAGAACTTCAACTCTCTCTGCCTTCTCCCGCCAGGGTGAAGCAGCTGTTCTGATCTGCACTGATGTCGCAGCTCGTGGCCTTGACCTACCAAACGTCGACTTTGTAGTCGAGTATGATCCTGCCTTTAGCTCAGATGACCATCTCCACCGAATCGGCCGAACTGCAAGATTAGGACGCGACGGCAGAGCCCACATATTCCTCCTTCCCGGCAACGAAGAGAAATACGTCGAAATTCTAAAACGCGGCTATCGAGACGGCGGCACTAAAATTTCCTGCATAGATGTGAACGAGTCGTTGAAGCGTGGCTTTGGAGGGAACACCGAATCGACGAGTAAGGGCTGGGAGGAGAAGGCAACAGAGTGGCAACTTGACATTGAGCGCTGGGCGCTTGAAAACCCGACCATCCTCGAGATGGCCAGACGAGCCTACCAGTCTCATATCCGCGCTTATGCCACGCATATTGCTAGCGAACGAGATATGTTTAACATCAAGGATCTCCATTTAGGCCATTTGGCCAAGAGCTTTGCGCTGCGCGATAGACCCGCTAAGATCAATGTTCCTGGCCTTCGACCCCGTAAAGAAGATACGAAGAAGGAATTCAAGGCTGATAGGAAGGGAGCTAGGGATGGTGCCCAGGCCACCAAGGACACGAATACCTCTGATGCCGCACGTAAAATGCGGGCGAAGATGAAGGAACATATGGCAGGGGCAAATGAATTTAATATCGCGTAAAATAATAACTAATGTCGGTTTCTAGCGTTAGGGAGCCGTAATGCCTTTTTTTTTATCGTAAAAGATTAAAATAGAAGAAAAATAAAACTTGCATAAAATTCAATAAATATCCCAAAGTGATATCTTCCCGTCTTTCGATCCGGCCGCAAGCCAATGTGTAAATTGCGCCTTCTTGCTCCGCTGCTCTTTTATTGCTGCCAGCGATCCGAGCGGATGGGCAAGGTTAAGCGCCATGCTTTCCGGCTTCGTATTTGTATCGCGAGTACTTTCAGGCGCCGTGCCCGTATCATCTGTATTTACGACGGTATTTCTTTCCATAGCAGCATTATTATTTCCATCATTTTTATTCGAGTCGCCAATATCTGCAAACGCAACGGCATAACAACCTTCATTATGCCACTTCAAAACGGCCAACTCCCTCATGCTTTTGCACGAGTAGACTCGAATTCTACCATCCCATCCGGCCGTAGCAAATACTTTCCCATCGTTTCGTGTTTGCAGGCCCTGCTGACCAGCATGCTTTGTGTTCAAAAGTTTCAGTGGCGTATCCGTCTTTGCTGAAATCGATGGCTTTGATGGAGCGACAGTGATAGCGACGGGATGTTTGGCAAGGATTGCATCGGCGGACGATGAGAAGAAGAAACGATCCTTTTGTTTCTCCAAAGGGGAGAGAGCGATAGAAAGAACTGGCTGGGAATGCGCATGGTTGATATATATCCTTTCCCAGCTCCAAGATAGCGGCTGATCGAAGCTCACTCTTTCTACGGCAACAGGCGACCTTTCTCTATGTACCATAACCCGACCATCTTCATAGCCCGAGATAAGGTATAAATTCCCCTGGGGTGCTCTGAACAGCTCGAGGGCCATTACCATCCCCGTGTTTATTGATGGATCAGGAGATATGGTCGATACGCGCTTTTCAGATGGTAGGTGGAATATATCTATCCCGCCGGAATTAAGGGCGTTGGGCACGGCTAGGAAGAAAACATGTGGCTGTTTCGAACTCTCTCCTTCCGGAAGTTGAGTGTCTCGCGTATTGAAACCTTGCTGAAAACCCTGAGGCTGAGTATCTGAGGTCACCATCTTATCTGAGAAGATGCGACAGAGCGCAAATGCACAAAAATTTAACGCATTTACGGATAACGAATGAAGCATCCAAGGTTCGCTTCGTGACTGGGCACCCTTTGATTCATCAACGGGTAATTCTTTAGTTAACCCGTCTTCATCGGCGAGATTTAAACGCCAAACTCGGAGTTTATGATCTCGACCATGTCTGTAGGAGGGATCATTAGGTGCATCAAAACGGATAATATAGAGCATAGCCTTAGAAGTATGAAAAGGGAGTATATGCGACAACATACGTAAATATCCACCTTTCACTGTCACTTCCTTTCCCCTCTGCATCCTGATTCGAGCGAAAGACGACTCCTTCAACCCCAAGAACAGCAGATTCATGGGCTTTCCACGAAGCAACAGCCCGTTTCGTACTCATATTCCAAACAACTACCCAGCCATCTGAATCACCGGAGATAAGTCTTGAATTCATACTATAAAAATGGAGGGCGTGTATTGGTGATCCATGGCCGCGAAGGATATATACTGGAGTGGCAGGCGGCAGTTTGCCTGTTGTTCTGTCCACCTCACCTAGAGCGGAGAAGGGGTTTGAGGATGCAGAAGATGACATTCCGAATCTTCAGTAGATAAATAAATTTTGAAATGATCGATAATTATATTTTATTAATCGAGCTGCTTGGATGTTTTAAACATGTCGTATACCATATGTTACTGGGTTTGGAGTTTGAAGTTTGCACGTCTGTACGGGTCGTCTGGAAGATGATCTTATCTTATCAGATCATCACAAGAGGAGTTGAAATAACTAGTTAACTAGTTACTGCACTAATCCATTCCAAGGTTAGGCCCGGGCGATCCAACACACCCGCCAGAGGTTCCATTGTTTGGGGAGACCTTAATGCTTTATGGCTACGAGAACTGTGGTGTCATGAATCGCGATTTACATCATTAGATACGCTATTCTTAAACATCTATCTTTTTTTTTTGGACCAATACGAAGCTCTCCATCTGAAGGACGATCTGATCCTGGATGCGATATTCGTACGGTTCTCACCATATTGGCCCGGCTCTGAATCTGTCAGTTCCATGTACATACACCGCTACCTATTGCGAACTCAGGAAACATCACAAGCGTACAAACATGGTTCTTCAGCAACATGCCAGTTCTCTCTTATCCCGGGGCCCCTGGCGGCCCTTCTTCCAATCCCACATATCAATGCTCGCGTCTCCAGAATTTTCTCTGGCCACTATCTATAGAGACAGCAATGGTTCCGTGTACCCTCGCGTGCGTACGTGCATATTCCGTGGGTTTTGGACAGAACTTGATTTGCGAGAGGAGGCTAGGAAACTGCTTCTGGAAGACGAGAAAGGAAGCAAGGAGGGTGGGCTAAACCCCACTGTATTCGAAAGTGACTTGTTGACATTTACCACCGATGTCCGAATGGAAAAAGTTGCTCAGATGGAGTCTTCCTATGACGGATCCGATTGGGGAAATAGAGATAGAGGCGGAGGCTCCATTGAAGCCGTCTTCTGGGTCAAAGATGCGATGACGCAATGGAGGATTAAGGGTAGGTCATTTATCATTGGAAGCGACAGCCGTGATGCCGGTGAATTGAAGTCGCGAGAAAATATACGGCAGTGGGTACGACGCAGAGAGGGCAGCGCAGATGATGATGTTAAGAGATGGACTTGGGAGAAGGAGATTACAGCTAATTTTGCGAATCTAAGCCCCACGATGAGAGGTATGTTTTAAACTTGATATAATTTCTTTCTTATTCTTTTCCTTTATTTTTTCTTCCTGTCTGGCGTTAACGTCACGTCACGAATTACAACGAATCGTTTTGTTCTACATGCACCATGCCGTAAAACCAAGCGCAAGAACACGTATCCATCCCTTTATATAAACTTCATTGCTTGCCAGACAAAAATGAAAGAGAAGTAACGCTATCTCTCACCCAAATGCCCAATCTACACTGTCATTCTTGCATTCCCTCTGACTCCTCTTTTCCTTTTGCAAATGGAGAATGCATATATGCGTAAGCGGCTAACCACCCACTTATCAATAATAAACCACGTCGCTGAATAGGCTCCTTCAAAAACCCGCCACCTGGAACAACACGGTTGGAGTCATCAAATAATCATTCGCTCATGCTAGGTCAAAGAGTGGACGACATTCATGATCCTATAGCAAGAGCGAATTTCCGTGTCGTTGTCATTGTTCCTGAAGAGGTTGAAAGTGTCGATTTGACTTCTCCGGAAAATGCAAAGCGGATGAGGTGGACTCTAACCAGGCAAATTGAGAAAGCTGAGGACTGTGGCGAAGCTGGTGATGGATGTAACCAGGGCACTTGGGAAGTGACTGAACTTTGGCCCTGACGAGCTTGATCCTCTCATCGTGTAGTGTTAGCATGACGAGAGGACATTCGTATTCTTCCGAGGAGACGGCTGGAGGAAGTGAAGTGGGAGGATATTAACACCTTTCAATTGATATATCCCCTCTTCTTTACTGTTTTGTTCGAGCCTGGCTACAGATGACCCCCATTTCATCCAACAAAGCAACTGTTTCTGGTATGATTCTAAGATATCATCCCGTCATGTGGTGCGATCAAAACAAAACTCCGTATTGCTTTTTCGCCATTCCTCTCTCTCATCCTCATGCAAGCTGAAGGGAGCTTCACTCGTGTTGTCCAAAAAGTTTTATGGGTACTTTTGTGTATCATTGAATACATTTCTCAAGCTCTGTTCTACTTAACAATTTCCAAGCCCAACTCTTTTCACATCAGAAAAAACCAAGAAGTATAGAGTCCCTTTATCATATTCCTTTCTTCCTTTCTTTCGTCACCCAACAAACAACCTTGGAAGTGGCAAACCAGCATTAAACTCCCAACTCACATTTCTGCCATCTCTTTTCAGAAGACAAGTGAGATGCGTTCCGACAAACCCTCTCTCTTACCCTTCACGCAGATTTAAAAAACCTACAACGGGCTTCTTTCATATACGATATCTCGCGGAATTAGACATCTTGCGTCGCGTTGCGGCCCGGCTTGCATCTATCTCCCCTTTCATATTACCACCGCAACTACGAGCAGTCACAAAACTTAGGGCCGTCTCCAACGATTGCAAGCTCATATCAGCCATCTCTTCCCCCATGCGGCATTTTATTCTCTTCTTAAAAAATCTTTGGAGACCAGGAATAGTCTACCATATCAGGGTAAATCCACAAGAAGAAAAGACCGACTCTACATGTTCCACCAACCAACTACACGCCCAAATATTATCATATCCTACCCCATTTTCCGCCTCATACTCTGTCCACTATTCAAAAATTGTTCAGAACGGCCTAAAGCCAAAAGGAAATGTGGAGCTGCAGTGACACTGAACCGGAAGAAGACGACACCACGACCCGTCGATGCTCATACTGCGGACGCTTCGGCAACTCCAAGAGCATTGTCGAAGAGACAGGCCTCTGCCACAAATGTCATGAAAACGTGCATTCTTCATCCAAGGATGATGTTGCTTCTATCATGACTGGCAAGAACGGGGGTGGGGCAAGCAGTGTCGCAGCAGCAGTCATGTTGCAGATGGCAGCGGTAGACGTCAATGACGATTTAAGCTCCATCAGAAGCATTACCTCCATTCACTCTGATCAGGAAGACGATGAGGAAGAGGAGGAGGAGGATGGTAACTCCAGCGAAGACGGGGACGGAGATGGAAGTGAGAGAGAGAAGAGGACACACGATGATCGGAAACTCAGGGGTAGTGGTAGGAATGTCTCTAGCAACACGATAACGGAATCAAATCTGTGTGCGCGATGCTGGAAAACCCCATCAACGACGATCCTGTACAATACACCCATCTGTAATGAATGCTATCGGATCGCGCAGGAGAAGCGGGTAAGCCCTCCTCTTATAACTCTTTCAATGCATTGTTCATTGCCAGGCTGACACATACCTAATTTCAAACAGGAACATACCAAGGGTACAAAGGTGAGAGGCAAATTCTTTTGACAAAAAAGAAAAGGGGTGGATGGAGAACCTCCCCAACACGGTAGGGTAGAAAATAGACGAACCAGGCTACTAAGTCAACTCCTGACAACCAGAAACGCTTCCAACCGCCAACCCCTCACCTCCAACCGGGCAAAAGGCTGACGCGAGTCTGCGACTCATGCCGTCGGAAGAGAAAGCGCTGCCAGCACCGCCGGGTGGTGGACGAGAACGATCGTGAGTAAAAAATGACAGTTTCACGCAAATATAATTTCAGGCTCCATTTGCCAAAGGAAAAAAACCCCAGAGAAGCTGTTGCTAACACAAAAGCAAAATATATACAGCTGACGCCGACTTCCGGCGGAAACGGTTGAGGAAAGAGCGGACATCGGCCGTGACAAACAACCGTGCGGGGAGGAGCAGTACCAGTTCTTCCTCCGTGATTGAAGTCAATGACACGGGTATGAGCGCTCGAGATTGTGAAGCCAGATATACCAGTATAATCCCGCTCTAACCACATATATGTATAAATGACATGTATACAGTCATCGTGTCAGAGACGGAGCAAGAGCCCATGGCACTTCAATGTGCCCGCACCAACACGACGACCACTACTACCACCACCACCACCATGTCAACCACGGGCACGGACACAAGCACAGCAAAAGCCAGCACCACTCCTACCAACGGAGCCATGCCAGCAAAAGCACCCATCACAGATTCTCCTCGCACCCCTCCAGCCCTCAATAGGGACGGGTATTCGGCCAGCAATCTGCGGCGGGCGATCGAGGGGTCCGTCCACGTCGTGTTCTCCAGGGAGATGGATAGGTTGGTGGGAACGGCGGAGAAGAAACTTGCGGACGCTGCAAGTGCGCTTGACGATGTCAAGGCACATATGACGGCGTGGTTGGGTTGTGCGAAAGGAGGTATGCGCCATTTTTTTTATTTGTTCTTTTTATTATTTTTATTTATCTCATGGAAATGGGTGGCTAGGTAGTTGTATGCATGAAGAGGCGAAGCCGACTGATTCGTTTTGGAGTTTAGATCACGGGTAGGTTTCATGCGCTTGGTTTAAATCTGTTGGTTAATGCGCATTGTCCTATCCTTGGGCGAATTGACAGCCACGGACATGGGCTCGATAAAGAGTTGGTGATCGATCGAGTTAATATCTCCATGTGCGACGACAACGGAATCTAGGTTGTTTTCTGTCCAGGGAGGCGGACTTCGGACTGGACTGGGGGAGAAATGTTGGGTAGCACAAGAGACCCTTTTTTTTTTTTTTTTTCCTGATCGACCTCATATTTAGACCATCAAATTCTAAAAGAAAGAAAATAAACTCCCGTTATTTCACATCCCTTGTATGTCTTGCAGCATCCAAGTGGTATAAATTAGATTAATCCGTTGTTGTGTTTTTAAAAAGTCGTGCCGGCCCAAGTCGAGAGTCATTCGTGCCCCTTTAACCAAAATCTATACTTCCACGCTCCTCCCTTTTTTTTGGAAATATATATAATGGGACTAGCTATTTTACTATATAAAGCACCAATAGCAGACATCGCGGGGCGAGCGATTTTAATCTCCACAGCCCATCTGAAGAGCAAAGAATCGTGGTCGCTACGATCGGCGTAGGGCGTGTGGGCAGACTAAGTATATACTTATATTTACATATATATTTAAGGAACCCAAGCACAGAAAGGCCGCGAGGCCAAGCGGATGTCGGTTTAGTGCTACTCAGACGACTTCGGGGCGTGTAAGGTAGTTAGTTGCGTTGGAATTCCCATGGTTTTGGCATTTGGCAATTTGCCCCAGTGGACCCCACGCCCCTGGGGGGTCAAGGGGCGCAGCGGCCACGAGCATCTGTTGTGTTGGGGGCCTTTTGCGAAAGATTTAGCTTTGGTCAGGGAGATAGGTTAAGTGAACGGGACACTTGCGAGCAACCTAGGACAATAGAGGGTGCCATGGCGCGATATATAGATCTAGTCGATCGTAGGGGAAAAGGGCGGGGTGAGAGCAGGGGATTTGGATTCCGGTGTTAGAAACATGTATGTAGACATGCATATACAAACATAATTCACTTGTATGTATATATGTAGGTATAATAATATCTTAATAAAGGAGATGGAAGCAAGGAGAGGAGGAATAGATAAGAAGCTTCAGTGCAGTTGTGTTGTGTTTTTTTTTTTTTTTTTTTAATTTGCACATACATATATATAAATAAACTTGAGGATCACTTATGCGAGTCTTGACAGGGCATGCATCCTGTTGCTATTTATATTATAGGCCAGAAGCCAGAGGCCTGGTTATGAATGAAACATTGAATTGTGCTGTGAAGCAGGGGAGAGTACAAAATAAGAGAGCAGAACAAAAGAAAGCTCTAGGCACAGATAGATGGAGAAAAGAGGAGCTAAGTTAGCTGATTCATTGAGAAAGATCAATGAACAGTGAAAATATTAATGTAATCAATCATTTAACACTCATTTCCACCTAACACTCAACCTTTGTAAATCAATTACAATCAACTTTAAATGTTAATGTCTCAATAAATATTCATTATTTTAATTTTTTAATTTATAATCTATAAATATCAAGACTTATAGTATAATATAATTCAAAATTATTATAATATAGTTAAAATTAATTAAAATATAGATTCAATTAGAAAATAAAATACAGTAAAATATTATTATTATTATTATTATTCTTCCATTATACTCATATGCAAGCGGAGCTTATGATAAGTCCTTGTGTGATGTTAAATACAGGTCAAGTGTTGATTATACAGGAGGAAATACAGGTGTTGAGACCATGCCAAGATAACAAGAACATAGGAAAATACAAAGGAGTGACAATTAGATACATGCGATAATAACTTCCCAGCCCAGGAACATAGAGCAATTCATTGGAGCGATTTGTACACCTCTGTATTTATTAGAAATCTGAGATGCTTGAGTTCCAGATTTAATGTATCCCCTGCAGGTTTCGAACCCACGCGTCTTGGTTTCCCACGCCAAGGCGCTACTGGGTGGCCGCATTAACCATTCGGCCACCGGGGATACACTAAAATAAAATATATAATATTTTATTATAAATTAAGAAATATGTATTATATATTATTGAAAATAATAATTCTTATATAAATATAAAATAATTTAATATTTATTAAATTATTTTATATAAGAATTCTATATTTTAATTTTTAAGAATTTTTTTATTTTTTTATTATAATTTTTTTTTATAAATTATAAGTAAAATATTGAAAATTCTTGAAATTTTAAATTTTAAAAAATAATTTATTAAATATAAATATATTTAAATAATTTGATATAATAATTTATTTAAATTACAATTTTAAAGTATAAATAATACATAGTTATTACACAAATAGTATTTTAAAATATAAAATTTTACATAAAAATTTAAATAAATTAATAATAAATAAGAATTTCAAGATAAAATTTTATATTTTATTAAAAATATATATAATCTATAAGATATTTAATTTTTATATAAAAATAATTTATATTTATAAGTATATTTATAAATATAAACTGTGTATTTTATTTTAAAATAGTATTTTAAAAAGCTTAATAAATTAATAATTATATGTTATTTTCTCATAGAAATTTAATATAATATAATATATATCTACAAATTATTGTTCTGTTTTTTAGAATAGTTTTAATAAATATTCATTGAGATATAAATATTTGAAGTTGATTGTAATTGATTTACAAAGGCAAGTGTTAGATGGAAACAAGCGTTAGATGGTTGATTATGTTAAATATTCAATCTTTGCTTTTTTTTCTTTTTTTTTCCCCTTATGAGCCCGCCCGGCCCCTTACTAAGCCGTTTAGAAAAACAAGAGCCAGGGGATCAAGGAGCAAACACCAAAGCTTTTAAATAGTTAAAGGGTACAAAAGGGGGTAAAGAAAGATATGTCTCCTCTTTTCGGGGGCGCGGATATGGTCAGAGGCCAGGAGACAGGGGAATTTAAGCAATATAGGCCTGGCAGGTTGAATGTTATATTATAGACTGTGCTTTTCATCAAAGAGAGTAGTTGACAGCAGATCATTCCTAACGGCCAGTCAGTCAGCTAGTTATCCAGACAAAGCATGATACTGACAGGGAAAATGCATGAGAAGCCAGAACCTCATCCCAGCGAGAGGGAAAGTTGTACCGAGAAGCACATGGCTGGATTATTGAAGCAGAAGTCCATCCAGCCATCTCTTATGACTCCTCTATTACTCGTCGTGGCCGTTTTCCATTCAAAAATATGCCCCCAATATTACCTCTCAGGTCAAAGCGCACTCTGTCTGATACAAGAAAGAATAAAGAAAGAAAAAGAAGAAAAGAGGAGAAAAAAGAGGGTCATTTGAGGTGGAAAAATGCAGGAGGTAAAAGGGAAGGATTTCTCCTTCCCCCAGCTCCTAGGACATTCATGAATGATCCCATCCGCACCAACGCGGCGGAATCGATGAGATCCTCACAGCATCTCCTTCGTATCTAGCAGATACTTAAAAGTCGGGTGATGGGAGGAAGATTCTTCCCTTCTTCACTTCCATTCTCTGGTCCGTAACTTTTTCTTTCCTTTCCGGGTATTAATCTTTGGCCAAAAGAAAAACAGTCAGCCATAACTATGTGTTGAACCCCTGCTGTACATACGGATTTTGTTTTCCCTTCCCAATATGCGGTTGGCGGGCGCCAAGGATGGTCTTGTCTCTTCTGCTCAATGGGAGATGCATAACTATTGTGTTGCACAGTCCAGTGCCCCAGTCCAACTGCAGATGTATGTACATGTATGTACATTGTGGGAGATTGTTGCGGGGTTGAGATGAGATGCCATGGGATGATGCGAGATGGTGAGATGGTGGACGGGGCGTATTGTGGCGGATGTAACGTAAGTTAATCAACCACCTAACGCTCGTTTCAACCTGACACTCACCTTTATAAATCAATTACAATCAACTTCAAATGTTCATATGAATCATATCTCATTGAATATTCAATTAAAACTATTCTAGAAAACAGAACAATAATATGTAAATATATATTATATTATATTAAATTTTTATAAGAAAATAATATATAATTATTAATCTATTAAACATTTTAAAATACTATTTTAAAATAAAATACATAGTATCTTTTGTGCCGGTTAGCGGGGCGCCCAGCCCGCCGGGCGCCGTCGTCATTGGTCCGCTTACTGCGCTAGGCCCGTTGCGGCAGCACCATTGCCACTTCAGGGATGGCGCGCCCTCTCGCCGCTTTTGCGCCCTCTCACGCTGCTTCAACGGCCGGCCGCTCGATCTATAAAAACCTGTCCCGCACCCTCGCAACAATCACACACTCTCTCCTCCTCTTTCTTTCCTCTCCCTCGTTCTCTTTCTCTCTCGCTCGCTCACTCGCGCCTGGATGCACTGCCCTCTCCCCCCCCTGCAGGGAACCGGTGCTGTCTTACCCGGCCCTCACCCCTTTTTCTTCCTACGCCTGCGGAGTCACTGAACAGATGTTTAATGACCTCACAGACTGCTGCTTCATTGATTTCTGAATCATTCACACTGTCTCTTACAGTGTTACTTCACTTGATCTGAAGTCTAGACTGCTGAGACATCTGCAGTCATGTTACAATAGCAATAACCTTTACTGTATTATATAATCAGTGACTGTGAACTGCAGATTGTCAATGATTTATTTTTTTATTTTTATTTTAATTTTAAATTTTTTTTTTTTATAATTGAGTTTTATTCAGTTAATCTGTTCTTCTATACTTTGTTATTTTAAGTGTCTTTTATTCATAAAGATCTGTGTGAAAAAGCAACAGATAATAATTAATTAAAATTACAGAGAAAATCAGTAAGTAAGTCTTTTAAAGCTAAAGTACTTACTGAGCTCTGAGTGATAAAGAGTTATATTACTCTTTAATTTATTAAGATAGACTGTCTTATTCTCTTTTCTCAGTTAATAGTAAAATTACTGTATTTCTTTTTTAATATCAGTGTATATCTGTAGATTAATTAAGTCAGAGTTTTATTCAAATTATATACTTAATATATTAGAGTTGAAAGTGATAATAGCTATATATAATTAATACAGAGTACTGATTATTAATCTTTAAATAACTTTCAGATAAGAATAAATATATCAGTAGTTTTAAAAAAGATTCAGAAATTAAAGAAATTTATCTATTACTTTCTTCTCTATAAGAGATAATAAGACAGCTGAAATCTCTGTAATAAGAGTAATTATAAAGAGTAGTTAAGTCTTCTATAAAATTATTAATACTTAATAATCTGTTTCTCTCACTCTTATATACTCTTCTCTCAGACTCAATTCTTACTCTTCTTTTCACTTTCTTAATTTATCTCTGACTCAGAATCTTCTCTCTCAGATTCTTAATCTTCTACTCAGATAACTCTCACATTTTATATAAATAATTTTAAACTGTAAATACTACAGCACTTCAAGGTCTCAGTGACTGAATGATTAATGCAGTCATCTGATAGTGCCTTAGTGTGGGAAATCAAGGCGCGTGAGTTCGAAACCTGCAGGGAATACATTAAATTCAGAACTCAAGCACCTCAGGTTTCTAATAAATACAGAGGTATATAAATCACTTCAATGAATTGCTCTATGTTTCTGAGCTGAGAAGTTATTATTATATGTATCTAATTGTCACTTCTTTGTATTTTCCTATGTTCTTGTTATCTTAGCATGATCTCAACACCTGTATTTCCTCCTGTATAATTAACACTTGACCTGTATTTAACATCACATAAGAACTCATCATAAGCTCCGCTTGTATATAAGTATAATGAAAGAATAATAATAATAATAATAACAGCACTTCAAGTCATTCTTACTGTATAAATACTTCAATTCTTATATCTCAGAAGTCAGAAAACTCTCTCTCTCAGTCTTATATTATAATATCTCTCTCAATACTCTGCTATCTCTTAAGTATGACCTTTCTTCAAAGCTATTAACTGAAGTTTATATGTTTATTAGTAGTAATACTCAGCTATATACACTGTTAAACTCTCTCTCTCAATTAAGAGAGATGTTTATATTATTATTCAATTCAGAAAATTTCTAATATAATGTATTATCTCTCTGTAATCTAGTATATTATATTCTGAATTTGTATTTTATCTCTATCTATAATGTTTAAGATAATATTTCTGATATACTGACTGAACTATCTTCTCTTAAAAGAGATATCACAGAGATTAATTTATTATTACTAAGTATAATTAGCTTAGATAATAGCTTAGAAGCTTTCTTCAGACTCTCAGATCTTCAGAATAATATCTTTATTAACTCAGTAATTCTTGTTAACAATATACTCTGAGATATTAGTAACTTTTATTAGTCTATTCAGTAAGATAATAATCTTATAAGCTTAAAAATTACTTATTCATATTCTGAACCTTCTCTGTCTATGTTTTACAACACTTTTAATCATTATCAAGAATTCAGAGAGAGACTTAATAACTGAAATAGAAATTCTTAAATAAATAATAACACTTATATTCTGAATTATCAGTAGATTTACTCTGTCTATTATAGTACTGATATTAATATATCTTACTTCTACAGTATAAGTGATAACTTTCTCAGTGATGTATAGATTAGAAGATGTAAATAAGAGTTATAATAGTTAAAAGAACTGACTGTAAAGTGACTTTATATTATCTCTATATTGTTTATAAAAGATCTCTTTATAGCTCTTCACTCTTATTTTCTATTACTGTAGTTTGATAAGTGTCTGCAGTTTCTTTCTTAATTATTTAAAGATGCTTTAATAAGTTATATATCTGACTCAGTATTAGTAATATAAGAAGATAAGAGTATGTGATCAGTTGATTACTTCACTTCTTATAAAATTAGAGAAACTCAGTGTGAGTGTAGTAAGAGAAGAAAGAGTTATAGAGACAAGCTATAATAATAACTCTCTGAGAAGAATGCATAACTTCTGAGTATAATAAAGAAGTATTAACTCTGACTGAAGATGAAGAGATATTTTTCAGTAAGAATAGAATTAGTACTGTATCAGCAGATATCTACACTTCAGAAATAAGAGAGAGAAATATATATAACTGAATCTACTGATATTATAATAGTATCTATAGCTTTAAAGAGTGAGACATAATACTCATTCATGTATATGAAAGTGATATTATAATTAATTATAAAAGATAATCTATCTCTTTAAGTCATTTATTAATAGCTTTTAATAGATAGATGAGAGTAATCTTATCTGATTATATTCTTATCTTTCTTCTCAGAGATCAACTGTACACAGTTATAGCTGAATAATACTCACTCTCTTATCTCTCTTTTCTCTCTCTCTTATAGTGATTTGCATGTAACAGCTGTGAAATGAATACTATTACTGCATGAGTTCTATTTTCAGACTTTATTCTCAGATATTATTAACTGCTGTACTGTGCTTCAATATCTGAAAAGAGTAACTTAAGACAAGTACTTTATAACAGTTTCTTATTTTCTAATATATATAGAGAGTCTTTCTTCTCTCTTAAATTCATCTTTCTTTTAATTTCTTTCTCACTTCTTATTCTATATCACTGTGAGAGTGAAACCTGCTTAGAGACTCTTATTAACTTAAAAATAACTAAGTAAAATCAAAGAATCTATTTTCTCTTCACTGAAGCTTTTCAGAATTCTTTTTTTTTCTATTCACAGTTTTCTTACAGTATAAGCTGTTTCTAGTGAGCTGTATTTTCAGAGTATAATCATTCTTTAATTATAGTATCAGCTGATAGTCTCTGTAACAGACTTCATAGCATTATTATTATCAGTTCAGATACAGAGATGAATGAATACTAACTTCTAATATAAAAGCTGTAAAGAAAGAGACTCTGTACAGACTATAGCTATTCAGTGTATAAGACTCTATTTAATGACTTAGTACTCTCTGAAATGAGACAGTCACTGAAAAAATATAAAATTCTCAACTTGAACACAGTTTTAATAAGACTCTTTCTTATATAACTCATGATAAGATCTTTTTCTTTACTAATATTGAGATAGAAAACTGTGAATCAGAGAATTTATAACATTTTTAAGATAGAGATATAAAGAGAGAAGTACTGAAAGAAGAAGTACAGCATCTGTATGTAGAAATCACTAGAAAGAATAAGCTGACTAACAGACTCAAGACTGAAGTCTGTGAGCTGAAGTATTAATATCAATATCAAATCTATTATATCATTTCATCAGAGTGAAGAATTCTTCTGTATAAATATCAGTATTGCTTAGAATGTCTTTCTCTTATTAATATAATCTGCAGAATGTGTTATCAGATTATCACTGATATTATCAAGAGCTACTAAATAGAGATTTTTATAGTCAACTTCATGTCTAATATTGAAATTATAAATGATGAAAAGAGATGAGAAAGTTGAAGATTTATATGTTAATTACTGAGTTGAAGCTAAGTCAAGTCTCACTGAGTTCTTTAATACTTTATCTGACACTCTCTTTTTTCAGCTTGATCTTCTCTTCAGCTGATTTTCTTTCAGCTCACACTTTTTGAGTCACACTTCTTCAATATGTACATTTATAGATGTATTTAGAAACTCCGCCAGACCGGGGCATCAATGCCTTCTTGAAACCACATACTCAAAGCCGTAATGCTCATCCGGATAATTTAGACAAGTTCATTGTTTATTTAGAAGTTCTCATGCAATCTTTGTTTGAGAAGATTTTGATGTGTAGAGAAGATCTAACTCTATCAACCATGTGATATCATTGAAAACCCAACATCATCTATGAGGTAAGCTGTTTTATAGTGAAGTCACCACCTGTCATAGATGCTTTATGCAGTAACTAATAGGCCACAAATATTGCCTGAATACCATGGCCCCTTTCATTCAAAACTGTACATCTTCTGCAGCTCTGCTCATCTGCAGTCAGGGTCAAATTGAGAATAACAGAATGTGAATAGGCCAAATCATTTTACAATGAAGCCCCGACCTGTTTTTATGAATAGGCCACAAATCTTGTCCAAATACCATTGCCCCTTTCCGTTCAAAAGTGTACTCCTGCACTTGTGCTTCTGCGTCCCACCAATTTAGTTTCACCGTCGGGCACATATATACCCAATGGCGATGGCCTTTTCGTTCACGCGTGACACGAATGACACGAGAGGGTTCGATGAAGTCCTAGCGACGGCTTTCCCTTTTCGAGATTGTGGATCGTGGGTGTGGGGTAGATTGCCATGGGGGCAGATGTGGGTCAAATGGGCAGGAACCGGAGCGGAAAAATTGTTCCCGGCAGACGTCATTCTCGGCCTCTCAATTCGCGACCAAATACGGACGAAGCCAACAGTTTTCCATTCCGCTTTCTTCACGCAGAGCCTACCACAATCTCTTTATCGATTTTATCAATCATGGCTTTGCATCGGCATCAGTCATCTTTAGAAAAGGTATTGGACTTCTCGCAACCGTTCTCGCAACCGTTCTCGCAACCGTTCTCGCAACCGTTCTCGCTAACTCCTCAACAACGTCAAGCGGCAACAACCCTTTTCAGATACCTGATCCAGCATGGTGGTTTGGAGCAACTACCTCGGAAGGTTTGATATCTGTCTTGTTCTCTATAGTACTTGTAGCTTTTGATTCCGTGGGTAGTTTTAATAAGTTTTGGCTGTTGAAAACAATTAACATCGTTAAAAAAAATTGAAAACTGAAAAAAGAAGAAAAGAAAAAGGATAAATAAAAAAAAATAAACATAAATTAATGACAGGATTGATTGGGATTGGTAGCCCTGGATTGAAGCCGAGTACGCTGAGATCTGTTGCAACTGGAAAAGTCAAAAAAAGTTGGAAGTGTCCTTATTTGAAACCATGGAGATAACCATTGCATCCCATCCGTATGCCCGCTGGCCCGTGGACACAAAGGTCGTTGGATTTAGGATCCGGCTGAAGGATTTCTCATCTTGTGCTATCTTCGAGACGAGGCAGACGATGACTTACCGGCATGAGGGCATGCCTGGCCTTCAACGGGGCGTAATGTTAGGGTTCGCAGCATGGCTGCTCATAGAATGTAAGGCTTAGGGCCAGGGCAGCGGGAACCAGGAGAGAATGGAGCCGCGGGCGGGTTTGTAGATGAGCGAGAGACCTAAATGAGCTACACCCATCTGGGGTGACCGTGCTGTGGATATGGTAGGCGTGGCTCTGAAGCCCCATCGTACTCTCGAGGAGTCAACTTCTGGGAGCCATTTGAAAACGTAACTGTCCTAGGACCACAATTCTAGGCGAAGCATTTGCAGCCAGGACACTTCAGCTATAAACGGATCTAGCATTTTCTCAATCCAGAGGCCCCAGTCATCGTCCCAATGTAATGCACAAACAGCTAGACAGTACTCCCAGTAACTTGGATACCAACCAGACTTCTCCCAGTCAAGAATGACAAGCTCCAGGGCCCGATTACTGGCAGTTGTCCGCTGGGGGTCGCTCTGAATCATAATTTTTTTGCGTTGACAGTCACCATGAGTAAACATCGGCTTATGGCCACAGAAAATGTGTGACAGACATTGGCGGTAAAAATCTGCTCTGTAACAAGGCCAGCCGTCATAAGTGTATTTCCTCGCCATCGCTTCGTTGAGCGCGGCTTCGGTGGTGAACAGACCGTTGATTGTAACTTCTTCGTGCCGCGTCCAAAATATCTCATCAAGAAAGCATCGTTTGCCTATGCTACCATAGTAACCTGGTGATGGCAACTGGCGTAACTCCTTGTAGTAACCGCGCAGTTTTGCAACAATCGATTCCTTCTCTGCACACGTCAAACTCGCCCACAGTTTTGCGAGTGTATCACCAGCAATATGCTCCATGACGATGTAGTTTTTACATGTTTGTGGGTTTGAATAGAGAGCATAAACTCGAGGCACAGGGACCTTTGTCATTTCCCGAACAAACAGCATGTTCTCTCCTTCAACAAGGTTGACGCCCTTCCCGAACTTCACCACATAATGGCATCCGACCTGGACAACCCATCGCCCTCCATACTCCGGAGATATATTCGGTGCGTTCTCAATTTCAGCTTCTGTCGGGAGAGGGAAAGGGACGTCTGCTGCATAGTATGGTAATCTGACTGAGCTGTCCATGGTTATCGGATGGTGACGTTAAGAGGAATGGAATGGTGTAGATTTAATTGTTGGGTAAGAATTTGTCAGGCGGTCGCGGCTTGGGTTAAATTAGCAATGGTAAGGATTATGCCCGCTCGAGCCCTCCCGTAATTATTGATGGTGGTTGTGCCCACAATAAAAAGCATCAACCACCCCACCTTTTGGGGGTGGGATCATCCACTGCTACTTTCCAATACATTACTACACGCTCCCTCAAGAAGTTTGAATCTGCTTCCGATTTGGATACCACGTTGGCGAAACTACAGAAATAACCTCGCAAGGTGCAATAGCGCGACAAATAGGTCGAAAAAGAGAGAAGTGATTATCCCATTCCTACAATTCCTCGGTTCTTTACTGACAGGACAGGGAAATCACCCCACGAAATGTCTTTCGAGGTCTATCGGGTTGCCTACGCTGGTGTGCCACGTGACCACCACGCTATTTTCGTGGTAACAGATGACGATCAATCTGGCCATCTCTTCCAAGTAACGGGCAATATTCAAAATGGAATGACTTTCGAGGATAAACCCGGCAAGAAGCCTGAGGAGTCTGCGAGTTTTCAAAGCAAGGTTTTTGTTGGAAAGGTGTCGGCAGCGGTGGAGCGACGTTGACGCCAATTTTCCCCAAAGCTTGATGGAACTCATTCATTACGGCCCCCAGGCTTTGCTGGTTGAAGGAGTCGCGTGCCCCGGGAAGTGAGATCATCAGGTATGACCACTTGGCAAGTGAGGCGCCGGTGTTGAATTTGATATTGATCATATTCCAGCTGCCAAAGCGAGGATCAGCCGTCTCGTTGCCCTTGTCCCTTGGCTTCCGCCTTGAGTGCACCAGGGGAGCTAGCTTCACCGTCAAGCCAGAACTCGACATCTTTGGCGCCTGCCCCATGCTGTCTAACACAAGGTGGGTGGGCCATGCCTAATCCATCATCCATCCTAGCAAGTCCAAAGATAGTCTTAACTCTGGGAATTACCTCATTGGCTCTGTTGCACTTCTCGGGCAGATGCGTGGTTTGGACTCGAACCAATTTGAGAAATTTTTCCAGCACTACAGTGTTCCAAACACTGTAACTGCTCATGAGTGCTGGTAAAGAGCCAGTGTGATAGAAAGCCCCATGGCTGATATTGATGTTGACCAGGATGCGACAAGTCGCAATGCGCACGCTCAAAAAGAAGCCCTGAATGACTTCCAAGCTGGAACTGAGATCTCCTCTTGCTGCATTCTGGTGGAGAGAAAAGCTCTTTGTCAATCCAATGGTGGCAAGGTTGTCCGCGGATTTAGCGTAGTGGTTCAGAAAGATATTCAGAGCCTGCATCAACTCCTGCTTGCCTACAAATGACTGGCCAAGATCTGTGAAGTTCAGATAGTTAGTCAATTCGCTAATACTTAAACTCTTCATGTATAGGACGCGGACCTTGTATGTGGTGGCTCTAGCCGCCGGCTCATCTTCACCTTCGGAACAATAGTGGACCTCGATGATGGTCTCATCGCTCGAAAACTTAGTTTTGGAGACAAGGGTAGACCGGAAGTCAGTTGCAAGGTTGCCTTGGTGCCAATTCCGCTGACTGGAGCAGCAGCTGCATGACCCGGGAACGCTTCCTGCCAACGGCCTCTGGGCTGATCTGGATGCCGTATCGATATAGAATCATGCTTGATGGCGGCAATAACTTGACGTAATTTGTCGTGAGTTCAACTTTGGTGCCCCTGGTGCCATACCCCGGACAGCTGGGGAAGCCTTTGATTAACTTCAAACTACCAAGATTGAATGTCTTCTTTGTCATTGGATGCAACGCATCTTCGACTTTCACGACTTTGGGATCTTGGTCTTGAGGGTTGCTATAGACATGGTTAGTGTGTTGAACAACTGCACCTTTGCTAGGTGAGGCGCCATCTTACGAGAAGACCTGGATGGCTTGCTGCCCACTAGGCACTCCATACCCTCCTCTTCCACCTCCACCACGACCACGACCCTCGCCTCCACCTCTATCACCTCTAAAACCACCGCTGGCTCCTCGCCCTCTGGAATCACCTCATCCACCTCTTCCTCCGCCTCCGCGATCTCCACGGAAGCCACCCCGTCCTCTATCCCCGCCTAATCTATACTCACTGGACATAGTACTGAATGGCTGAGTGGGGCACTCCAGACACAATATAGAAGACGATACTTAAGGCTAAGATTACGATAAATGCGGGGTTTTGAACTGATGAAGGCTAGCAAACTAAGCGAAGTGGGGTAAGCTACAAGTGTTTCTAATCCCTGCCGGAGTTTAAGCGCGCCGCTACGTCATTTGCAACAAAGAGAATCCCAGTGGTGAATGGGATGAAGCAACACATGGCGCCTCTACTTTATTAAGAGCCCTTTTACCCAATTCGCCGTAAGTAGGCGTGATGGGATTTTCCAATCATGATTGGTTGTTATTGGTGGCTCATGAGGGACTCTTCCAGAGCCTTCTAGTAGACTTTGAGGGCCTTAGCACTCAACGATCCACCCCCCACCCCCCACCCCAGCCAGGCCGCAACACTACAAACTCCAAATCTGGCAGAGCTTTAATCTCGAGACAATCTATTCATTTTTTTGTGCAGTATCTGATATATGGCAGAATCGTTTTAAACCTTCTGTCTTCGCACGCCATGGTTGGCATTCAGCATTGCGGCGAATGCTTTAAAACATCCTATTGCAAGTGAGAAAGAGCGACGGGGTTTCTGTTGAGATACAAATTTCCAGTCAATGATTTATTATGGTTTAAGAATGTATAGATGGATATCCAGAATCAATGCTCAGAGGGAGCTCTTAAGGTAAATGCTAGTACCTGAGCGACGGCAGTTAAAACATGAGTGATCGCGAGGGCACACGCGAAACGGCAAAATATGGGCATAACAGCCCACACCGACAAGCAAGATGCAAAATCGTCGACTTTTGCTAGTCCCGAATGAGAAGTCGTATCAAGACTTCAGATCCGGAATCTATTATCTTTTCCATGTTTGCACGCGCATCATCATACGTGTGATCAATGTTCTGTAGGAGGACCGCTCGTGGTATCTTATCGACTTCCCAGGTTACTGAGACAAATGAATTCTCCTTTTGAAAGTGTGTAGACATGATATCGTAATATGTACCCATGCACAATTGTTCATAGGTCTCCACGTAACTGGAACTCCATGCAGTCGTAGGGAACCCGTCATAGCCTATGAAAACCCCCAATGTCTGAACTGGAGGCTGAGAGACCAACATCCTTCGCCAGCTGGCTTCTGGTCTTAAAAATGGATTATCGCCTGTGCTGGAGTTTGCGATATGAAAGTAGGTTCATAAATAACTCGCGATCACACACGGGTGCGAATACAGAGCGAGATCGGGCCTGATTGTCGCCTGTGCTGGAGGTTGCGCAATATGAAAGTAAGTTCGTATAACGGCTACCGCCATAGCGAATATATCGCTCGTAGATGCGAGATCGCAATTGTGAATCGGTCTCGAGAGGCGTTGGGGGTTGTTGAATATCTTGAATCAGTGGATCTAATGTTCACTCCGATCAGGCGGATCGGCGTCTCGGAGTTCTGCATTGTCAGCGGGAGACAGTTTACGAGAAAAAGAGGCGTGCAGGAATGGACTGAGGTTTTTCTTTCAGGCGAATTGCCAGAAGGCACTGAACAGCCCTCTCTCCGTGTCGCCCTTGCTCAGCAGCCACAAGCTCCTGGTGAACCGCTCCATTGGTCGTTGTTCGTCGCCCGTGGACAGGCCGGGTGTATCAAGTCAAGGGCGATGCAGAATTCATGCAGTACCAGCCTTCAGATATCCAGATTGACATCACGGTGTCAGCAATGTTCTTGAACATGTATAACCTGTAGCGCACTGCAGCGCTTTCTGTTATTGTTCCCCACTCAATATCACTGTGTTTTTTATACTGAGGAGTAAAAGCACAGAAGTATTCTGAGTACAGCATTGAAATGAGATGATTACTCTGTCAGTAAGAATAGAGAATGATGAAAGTTAGAACTGAAGAGCAGAGTCATCATTCAAAATTTTATAGAATTGTCAAGAGAAAAACATATTCATTTGAGCTGTGAATTCTTGATCATCACAGGACCACAGAAATCAGTTCAATGACCTCTGCTGTCCACAGGCCAGCATGGCCACAAGTTGGCTGTCTCTGGGCCTACCAGGTCCATGAACTGCAATCCATGAATCTGTCAGGCCTACTGAACCCTGCCTTCAGCATGGTGATCTAGGTCATCAGCTCTACTGCACATGTTCTTAAGCACTGGCCATAGTATCTCTTCTCTTGATCATTATGCTACTGACTGTATGATGTAGTCTCTGACCTTTTATCAATCTTCTTCTATCACTGTGCCTCTGGCCTGATTGAACTTCAGTCCTCAGATACAGATATAGTTTTAAGGAAATGTTAACATTAATAAAAACTCTCAGCAGAAGACTGCACTGTCTGAACTCTTATTATCACTTTTCTCACTCTGAATATATATATATAAGCTTCTTTTCATCTCAGATTCATCTCTCTTTTAATTTCTTTTTCATCTCTTATTCTACACTATTAACTGAAATCTGCTGTGAAGTTCTTGTATACTCAAAGATAACTGAGTGAATATAACAGAACTCATTTTCTCTCTCTAAAGCTCTTTATCATTTCACTTTACTGATCTGTAACACAGCTATCTTTTCATCTCTCAGTTATAATATCAGTTAATAATCTTTGCACTGTGATTATTATTTCAGATGAAAAAACAGATAAACAGTCTCTAATATAAAGAATATAAAGATTATAAAAAAAGAGATTATATATAAACTACAGCTATTCAGTCTATAATAAATCTGATAATTTGATAATCTCTGATTCTCTGAAGTCTGAAATGAAGCAGTGACTGAAAAAATAAAAAATATTCAATCTTGATATAATTTTAATAAGACTCTTCTTTATAAGATTTGATGAGGCTTCTTTCTTACTAATATTAAGATAGAAAAGAATAAATCAGAAAATTCATACTATTTTTAAAACTGAGTATATAAAGAGAAGAAAGTTAGAAGAAGAAGTACAGTATCTGTATACAGAGATGATTAAGCTTAAGACTAAACTCTGAGAGTTAAAGTATTAATTTAAATATGAGATCTGTTATAATATTTTATCAGAGTGAAGAACTCTTCTACTGTATAAATATTAGTTTTATACAAGATATCTTCATACTGTTATTGATAATAACTATTCAAAGTATCATAGTTCTATTATTAGTATTCTCAAGAGCTATTAGAATTAGATAGAGCTATTTTCTCTCATTTTTTTTAATCAGTATTAGAAATATTATCTTAATTGTGATTTTATTCTAGTTTTGAGATATTGCTTATCTCTTTTAAATACTACTTATATAAGCTTTTTAAGAAGAGTTAGTGCCTTCTTCTTCCTCTGAAAGAGAAATATATTTTTAAAGAGACTGTTTATAAGATATTAATTAGAGAATTTTAACTAAGTTAACTATTGATATAAAATAAATCTAAGCAGCTAACTAACTAGAAATGAAAAGATTAAGTTATCTCTTTGTATCAGTACTAACATAATTCATGTAATCTCAGTAATATTCAATTATTCTGCTATTTATTCTACTATCTAATACATCTTATTCTCTTCTTACTTATACACCAGCTTCAGAATCATCTGAGAAAGAGGTAAAATAATGTATTTTTAATAATCTAGTATCTTCTCTAACATATTACCTTTCTAATGACTGAACACTAATAATTTGCTCTGATCAGTGAACGCGGACGTAGCGCTTCTCACCTGAGTATGAGTCAGATAAGATAATGAGATGCTCTTCTTCTCTTAATCTCAATTCAGAACTGAAGCAGTGAGTTACTTCATGTCTTACTCATCTGCTGAAAATACTCTAATATGATTTCCTCTCAGAAGTCAGTGAAGTGATGCCTCATTCTCAAAACTATAGTTCTCTACAGAAAGTTAGAGAATTTGCAAGAATGTTGATAAAAGTGAACTCTTAGAGAGTGTCACAAACTTGTACATATTGAGTATTACAGTGATTGAAACACGTGTAAGAGATCTGAAACTTGTACGTCTGTATGTATATATATATATTGAGAATCCCACCTCTGCTGAATAGAATAATAATAAAAATAAACACACTACTATCACTTGCTTCAACAGTACATAACAGCAATAAAATGAAACCTTATACGGCGCTGACATCTCTGAGAAGTGCCAGAATTCTGAGTGAAAAGACAATAAAAACTGAAGTCTTATACAGTGTCAGCATCTCTGAGAAAGTGAGCTTCTTGAGAAGATAAGTCTCATGCAGAGTTAGCATTCTTGAGAAAGTAAGTTTCTTAAGAAGTATCAGAATTCTGAGTGAAAGAGTAATAAAAAGTAAAATCTTATATAATATCAGATTCTCTCAGAAAGTAAAGTCTCTTAAGAATATTACATTTTTAAACTATTAGTTATCAGAGTAAAATCTCTGAGAGACATCATAATCTCAGTAGAGAAAATTACAAAATTAAAAGTCTATAAGAAGTTAACACTTATCAGAGAATAGTATTATACTAAGTGAAAAAGCTATAGAAAAGATACTATAAGAGTTATTATATTTTTTAACAGTCACAGATAATGACAGTTCTTGAGATAAAAAGATTAACTTGAAATCTTATTAATTCTTGAAATTTTAGAGTTCAGCAAGCATTATAGCATTGAGTATATTTAAATTTATATATGAATAGATTGTAGATTCAGCAGCTATATTATGACATAGACTTGCAAAAGCAGTTAATAAAGCTTAGAGTAGATTTACATTTTAAAAAGAGCTTAGTAATGATTTTAAATTCATTGTAATTTACAATAAATAAAATCTTTCATTATCTCAAATCTGCTTAAGTATTACTTGCTTTTCCTTCTTCTTCACTCTAGACTTCTGATATTTCATGTAGTTCTCACTTATTATTCAGAAAGAGAGAGAATAATATTTCTTCTATTTCTATAAGAGCTACATTTTTTTCCAGAGTTGTATCAGACATGTCACTCACTATATCTTTATCTAATAATGAAAAGTGACTGTTCAAAGTATCAGTTAAAATTAATTATAAAGTACTGATTATCTTTATAAATAAGAAGATAGACATCTTTGCAGTAACAGTTATTACTGCAGTATGTCTTTCTATCAGTAACATATCTGTACAAGACTACTGTGCTCAGTTCATGATCTGAGACTTGATTATTATTACTTAATAGAAGAGAGGTCTTAATTTATAGCTATAAGTAAGTGTTATACTTTATTAAGTTAAAAGTCACTTTTTCAAGATATACTTCTGTCAGATCTGACTAGTTGATTTGCTGCAGTGCTTACATGCTTAGATTATGATCTGCAATCTGAAACTATAACACATTATTTTAATTTGTAATTGAACTCAGTTATATAATCTGAATACATGATCATGATTTGCTAACTGAAACTATAACTCTTATCATTTTAACTTAATTTTTCACTCAGTCACACAATCTGATCATTTATACTAAAAGAGAATATAAAAGTATTCTATTTAAAATCACACTGTGCAGAAAATGAAATTCATTAATCTGAATAAAAGAATAAAAGTACATAAATGTATAAATTGAAATTACAGAAATATAAAAATTGAAATATATACTTTTATACATTAAGAAATGACTAAGTCTTGCAGCTTGTTGAATGTGAAGATATTATATTGATTATTAATCAGATACAATGAGATGTATAGTACTAGTCTGTAATTAAAAGCTCAAATAGAGACTCAGTGAGTTAGTGTTAACTGTTAAGAAGCAGTGCAGCTGATTCAATATAAGAAGATCTGCTGAGAATAATATTAACATAATTCTATTTATTCTTACAAAACTTAAAAGTATGTAAGACTCAGTGTAAAGATATCATTCTAGATCTGTAAATTTAGAAAAGTTCTTAGAGTAAATGTAGAAATTGTACTGAAGCAGAAATTATACTGTGATAGTCTTTTTCTATGCTCTACTTCTATGTTAGAATAACTTCTACTACTACTGTGCTAGAACTACTTCTACTTCTATACTGAGACTACTTCTGTGCTGAGACTACTTCTGTTCTGAGACTACTGCTATACTAAGACTACTTCTGTACTAGAACAGCTTCTAGTGATCAGAGCAGTAAGTCTTCAATTGTTTTAAATATATGTAAAGATATCTAAGTGTATTTCTTGTTAATTCATGAAAAATTGTTGACTTATCTGAAATGTAATCAACAGAAAACCTGTACTATATAAAAACACAAAATGCTCTTTGCAAGAAAAACTAGAATAAAAAGAATCAGACAGTCATTCAAGTTATAAAAAGTAAAGATTCACAAAGTACTATATAAGATAGATATGAAAAGTGAGAGACTATAAGAGCAGACAAGATCAAGAAGCAGAGAGAGAAAGAAGAGTATGTATATTACATAGTTAAAGAAAATAAGAAACTTTAGTAAAGACTGTATAAGCTGTAATAAGTTTCTGAAGTAAGAAAAAATATATAAACTACAGTTAGAAGTACTATACTGAACTTTGATATTCATTCTCTTGACATAGAGATCTCATTGAATATTTTCAATAAGTATCAGTGACTGTAAGATGCCTGCTTTTTTCACTCTGTAATTGAAAGAAAGAATTAATTTTGTATTAATTATTCTATGTTATTAACTTCTATTTATCATATTATGCTACTAACTCTAAAGATGAAGAAACAGAATTATTTCTAATCTATTTAAAGACTCTAAAATTTATAAAAGACTGAGTAGAAGAGTTCAAGTGAACTGCTCTGTGAGATCTTTTTCCAGGGAAAAAGTTTAAAAATGCACTCAAAAATATCAAGAAAGAGATGAGTATACTGAGATAAGTAATTTCAAAAAATAGACTAATTGAAAAATTATTGACTCATTGTGTAGAAGTTATAAGAAGGGTAAAAGTTATTCATCTAAACTTCTTACATAGTCAGATTAAGAAAGAAAGTGAAACTTGAAGATTTGTAAGAAATCTCACTTCTCGCGGATTCTTTACCTCTATTTCTATCTCTCATGTAATCAATAGAGCTAGCGGCCCTTGGCTACACACAACTATATAGACTGGAGTTTGTGAATACTATTCATAACTCAGCTTAAATGCTATTATACATTTAATCTCTACATTTTATCTTTCTATCATGAATACTTCTAGTAGTTAACAGTACATATCA